TTTGTACCACTCTTTATCACTGTGTGAACACATATTTACTGTTGATGTAGTGTACACTCTGACAGTAATAATGTGCAGCATCTTCAGTCTGGACTCCACTGATGGTCAGAGTGAAATCAGTTCCACCTCGTGCTCCATTCCCACTGAATCGACTGAAACTCTCATCATAGAGATCATTTACTCCAGTAATGATGAGTTTAGGAGTTTCTCCAGGTTTCTGCTGATACCAAGCTAAACCCCAGCCACTTATTTCAGGATCAGTTTTACACTCTATAGTGGCGTCTTGTCCTTCAGAAACAGTCACAGCTTCAGGCTGAGTCACAGTGATTCCTCTGGATGCTGCTGACAACAACATTATATGTGTTCAATCAAATGAAATGAACATTAAAGAGTCAAAAATGAGCATCTTTCACTTCTGTTACCTGGAATAAAAGCTGCCAGAATCCAGATGAAGCTGCTGAAGAGATTCATTGTGTTTGTTGGTTTTGTACCGTGGTAAACAGCAGTGTGTTATAAAGTGTTGGAGTCTGAACGCTATAAACACTCGGAGCGCTGAAGCATGTGCTGATGCAAAGTGACTCTCTGTGGAAAAACCCTCCTGGAGGAAAACAGACATGAAAATGCCCACATGCAGATGAAAACTGAGCCTTTAAACGTGTTTCAGTCTCATGATACAGTGGTGTGTGTTTTCATTTCTTTAGAAATCTGGAAATCATGTCTTTTTCACTCTGTGTGAGTCTCATGGTTCAGACTGCAGGTTTTCTCATGATTCAGTGACAGAGCTGAACCATTCAGAGAAACAAGTATGTCACTGTGAACTCAATGAGAGGGCAAAGGTCATCAAAACGAATAAAAATTGCTTTGAGAAATATATATGATCTTTTAGAAATCCAAATTAAGATGTGTAAAGAAAACGTATCAATACAGAGATTTTCATCACTTTAGTCCAATAATCCACCGCTGCTGTTGAGTCTCATATCAGTGTGTGTGAGTGAGTTTGTGTTTATCTGAGTGTGACGGAGGTTTTTGTACGACGCGTTCACTAGAATGAAGCACTGTGGTGCACTTTTGGTGGAGGAACTAAACTGGTGATCAGAAGTAAGTCTTTCTTAAATTATCAAATACAAATGCATAATGTGTGTGTGTGTTTTAAATAGAGGTTTAAGGTTATTTAAGAATATTTGGCAACAATATTCTTAAATTATTACAAAAAAATGTTACTAAGGCTTACTTACATTTCACATCTTATTTACTATAAAATGTAATTCTATTTTACTGATTGATTGCACCAGTTGATGTATGTAATTATCAAATTTTGTCTGCTATATTATGTGTAAGTCATTTGGTTTATATTTCATATTTTTTACATTTCAAGCCATAGTTCATATATGTACTTACTGTTTTACATTAATAATTTCACACCTGATGCATGCTAACATTTCAATTTATTTTAATTAATGGTGATTTTTATGATTTTTCAATAATATCTTAATATATTTAAATTGGTGCATGGCACAAAAGCTGGATAATGTAGACAACATTTTATTGTTGTCATCATGAGTCAAAAAGAAATTCAGTTGATAAACAGTTAAAATAAATTATTTAAACCATTAAAATTATTTATAATTATGTTTATGAGAAAATGTCCTGAATGATGACTATTTTCAAAATAATAATATATTGAAACTACCAGTTATAAAAAATATCGCAATAAAATTATCAGAGATGTTTTATAAAATCAGTTTAAATATTTTACTTATTTCATAAAGTAACAAATTAGCATACAGTTTTACAGTACATTATGTCTGCTTCAAAGTGATATATTTATGAATACAGTATGCGTTATCTTATACTTGATCACTGTAAAAAAATAAATATGTAAAATTTACAGTAAAAATGACAGCAGTGTTTGCCAGAATTCTTGTTCTTCACTTCCAAATATTTAACAGTATTGTACTGTAAAATTACATGAAATGTGCAGTTAGATTTATTATAGTTTTTCACTGTGTATAGTAAAAGAACTTACAGTGAACTGATTAACAGGTTTTCACCACAGCATTTTTACAGTCTTCTATCATTAAAATAACTTTTTTTTTTTACAGAGAACATTTCTGAATAGTAAATATTAATTATTTTAATGGAGAATATTTTCAATCTTCATTCAGGATATTTGTGTTATATGAATGACAGCAGTGATGTGTAGTTACAGTAAAATGATGAACTGATTGTGGTTTTCAGAGTGAAGATTGCAGCTGCAGATGTGAATAATTGAGTGTTGTGTGTGTGTGTGTGTGTGTGTGTGTGTGTTTCAGCTGGTC